TATATATATATATATAAATTCTCTTTTACTGTAAATATTTTTACAAGTAAAAGGCAATTATTACGCAATTATAACTTTTGAATTCTATTGATAAAAAAATTATCATAGCTTTCAATTTATCTTGTTAAAAAAGTATCAACTTCTCAAAAAAAATCTCGGAATATCTAATATCTAAGTTGGTTTTTTCTTACCTTTTAATAATTGTTTATCATATTAATATGTCATCTTATAAATGAAGTTAGCTCTCATGATTCTTGCATATTTTATCTGTTACAGATTATATTTCCATTACTTTTTACAAATATGACTGATAAAGTAGATATCGAAGCCACAGTTAATGGTGGAGGTTCTACTGGTCAGTCGGGTGCTATACGTTGGGGTATTTCATGGGGCTTACGTAGCTTTGTTGACAAATCAACAATTGACAGAATGCGAGTTGGTAAGAAACAATCAATTTGGCAAAATATATTAATACAATATATATGTGTATATATGTCGCAATAAAACTGTATTAATGTTAATTAAACTGATAGATTATAATGATAGGTTAAATAATAGATAATTAAAAAATTATTGTTCTTTTTAAACAGCTGGACTTCTAACAAGGGATTGGAGGACACGTGAAAGAAAGAAGCCCGGTCAAGAAGGTGCTAGAAGAAAATTCGCTTGGAACAAACGTTAACTCTTATTATCATGTAATTTTCACATTGTACACATTAAAATATGTACGCATTAATATTATTATATAATTATATAAAATGGCGCCAGAAAAATATCTCGTTATACAATAAAATTTATTCAAGAAAATAAAGCTAGTTATTTGATATCGAATAAGAAAATAGAGAGAGACGCATAATTTTCCTACTTAAAGTCTTACCAAGAAAGCAGAATAATGTGCTGCAATTTCACATCTCTTAAGAGTACATACATACATTTGCCTTCACATTTCTTCCAAGGGTATTAGACCAAGTAATTTCATACCTTGTGCAAGAATATTTCTAGCAACATGAAAAAGCAGCAGTCTTTGACTAGCAACATCAGGCAATTCATCCTTTACTCTTAATGAATTAAAAGCTTTATTAATTGCATTACTAAAAAAGAAAGAGAACTTGTGCATATTTCTATAATATACATATTGTACATAGTTAGATAATTGTGAAAAATGTTTGAGTCTTGGAGTTTGTATCTCATACCTTAAATTGAAAAGATATACCGTTAATATACAGGGTTCTAATTCTTCATATGATTTCAGCACTACTTCTTCAAACTTAGCAATTAATATGACCAATTCATCAACAACTTCTTCTTGTAATAGACTTGGCTCACATTTCGAAGTTAGGATAGCGCCGCAATTGCGCTCCAAACTTCCTAATCGACAATGTGTATATTGTAATTTCACACCTGTGTTCCCTTTCAACTGACCTTACAAAAAAGATAAGGACAAAAATTAATCAATACGCATATAAAATCGCATATAAAATAATAATTTTTTCACGACAATATATAGATCACTTACATCAAATGCTGCATTCCAATCAAACGTATAATCTCGTTCTCGTTTTCTTTTTAAATCATTAACTATCATTGCAGAAATGCCTAATATATCCGAGCTGTTATCAGATGAATCTAGACGAACTTTAGTAGCTGAAAAAATTGTTCTATTATAAAACTAATTCTATATACTTAGATACTACATAATTAATATTAAAATTAACATACTATGTGAGTCAATTTGTTTCTGCTTTATGATATCTCTAGCAATATCTAAGATATCTTCTAAAAATATGACATCTCCCTTTCTCGTACGCATACCGTGCAATCGGCCAAATTTTATATGTTTCAGTCTTTCAGCCCACGGCATTTGCATTTGTTTTAATATTTCTAACAAATTTGAGAAATGATTTACTTGTGTATTATCCACCACATAGTACATACAGTCAAAATCATTCTTTTCAAATCTATCAATAGCTGCTGCGATATCTCTCGCTATGTACAAAGTGGAGTCATCGCTCTTGATTATAGGAACGCTTTTCTCATTGCTCAGATTCACAACTTTTCTATTTTGCTCGTCTCTTACTAGTAATTGCATTTTTTCCATCAACGTAACTATTTTCTTGATATTTTTGGCATTGTACATAGATTCCCAATGATATTCGTCAAATGTAATACCAATTCTGCTGTAAATCCTTTTTAATTCCTCAACAGTATATTGTTTAAATATGTTCCACTGTTCATGTGCACCTCCTATATCACTTTCCAAATCATTAAATATTTGTCTTGCACGATCCGATACAGAAGAATCAGTTTCAGCTAATTTATTGGCATTAACATATGCTGTGTACAAGGCTTTTATAGGATTTCTTTTCATTTCATCCTCATTAGTACCTATTATATCAATTCCTAATTGAACTAAGCCATATTGTGTACCCCAGTCACCTAAATAATTTATTTTTTTCACCTTATTGTTTATAAAACTATTGATATTAGCAACATAATTTCCTATTATTGTAGATCTCAAGTGTCCTACATGAAAAGGTTTTGCAATATTAGGAGAACTAAATTCTACTATTATATTTTTTTTATTATTCACAAAGGTTGGAGCCGATACTGTTGAACAGTTGTGTTCCAAAAGTTCTTTAACACATCTATCTCTAGAAATATTAAAAGAAATAGCATTATTTTTTATATTAATGTTGTCGAAAATACTATTTGGCTCATTATTTATGATGTTCTGTGCTTCTTTCTGTATATTATATTGTCTGGTTCTCAATGGAAGTAGGAAAGAATAGATTCCTTCTGTTTTACATGTTTTCAAATGCAAATAAGATGCAACATTAGATATATTTATATTGTTTGGTAAATATTCTGTAATCTAAAAACAAAAAGATAAATAATAATAAAAAATAAATTCCAAATTATTGAACATTTTATTACTTTGGAAAAAAATACCTTTTTTAAAATTGCAGTTTTCATATTATTACTCATGTTTTATGTATTTAAAGATTTATTTAAAGATAATGTGAATAATTATCTGGTTATTTATGAAAAAATAATTTTTTTTTATAGTAAGATAACAGAAGCCAATAATATCAATTAACGTTATTAATCTAACGTTTCATACAAGCAATGTTAAATAATAAAATAAAAAATTACAATTATAGGTTAGAACTGATATACTCCAAAATAATATTACTGATAGATGTCGCTAATATCTGGTCTGAACCGAAATATAACTAGAATTTTGTGGAAAGGTTGGCAATCTTTGTTTTAAAATAATTTTAAAATACAGTGTGCATACACAATTTACAGAACACAGATAAAAATAAGAATATCAGTAAAATTATTCAAAATATATTTAATATTTAATAAATAATTATTACAAATGGTCACATATGTTATATTCCCCTTTAAAATAAAAATTTCCATTTATCAACTTCATTTAATTAATAAAATACAATCGCGTGATTTACAGATAAAATTATTATTATTAATTAATAAATACGGAAGAATAATATAAACTAATAAAATTGTTATCAAATGTATTCAAAAAATACGTATTCATTATCTAATAATAAGTTTCAATTTTCTAAAATTATATTAACAATTTTATGTATTTTCTAGAATACTACAATACAATCCTTGCAGCGAATAAATTTATTAGGCGAGGATACAGTTCCTAGCAATAATTATCTTAAATAAAAAAAATTATTATTTATATCACTTGAGAGAAGTATCACTTATTCTTATATATATTTTAACTTTAAAAGATAAGAAAATTAATTTATTAATATAATATCAATTACATTCCCATGTATGTACTGTTATTAAATATATTCAACCTAAGTAATAATATGTACTAATTAAAATTATTGTTTGTTCATATTTAAATAAATACATACATATATATGTTATATATTTTATATGTGATATATACATGTAAAATGATAATATATTCATAATATTATTAATCATTACAACAATGTCATGGCTTATTTCGAGCTACAATTAAATTAACTTTAAATATATATTAAATATATAACTTTAATATAATCAACAAACATTTCGGCTTACAAAATCTTCTTCAATGTTGAAACGCAGAAATCTTAAATTAATAAACTGAATAAATAACGAATACAATGAAAATTTAAAAAACCTATGATAAAGTGTCAATATATAAGAATCTCAATACATCTTTCTCATCTTTTAATATTTCTGCTATTTCTTACGCGGCGACATACGGGAAATAAACAGAGCGATATGACGTTCGAGATACAGAAGACTCTCGAGAAGATCGACTGTCAGAATCAAAATCGATGTCTGAACAAGAAGGCTAGGACGAGATCCTCGAGAAAAAGCATAAGCTGTGCAAGCCCTACTTCCAGAACGACATCATTAAGAAGATACCAACTTCTGGGTCGCTTTGTAAATAATAAAGAAATAGTAGAAATATTAGAAGATGCATTGAGATTTTTAAACAAATTAGAAGTTGAAGAATTCGAAGATATTAAATCTGACTATAGATAGGATTAATTTTTACTTTGATGAGAATCCATATTTCGAAAACGATGTTTTAACTAAGGAATTTCATCTAGGATCTTCTGCATCTCAAAGTACATCTATTCGTTGGAAAGAGGGTGTTGAATTCTTTATTTATTGACATTTTATCACAGATGATTTTTTTTAAATTTTCATTGTATTCGTTATTTATTCCGTTATTTATTCAGTTTGTTAATTTAAGATATTTCTGCGTTTTAACAAAAGGCTTTGTAAGCCAAAACTTTTGTTGATTATATTAATTTAAAGTTAATTTAATTATAGCTCGAAATAAGCCATGACATTGTTGTAATTTTTTAAGAAAATATACCAGCATTTTTACTCTAATTATTAATTATCTTAATATATTATGAGAATGAGTGTTTATTATACATATATTATTTTCACGCTGTAGAAACGTTATAGCTACAAATCTGAAATCTATGTTATGTCAATAATTCGTACAAAGACATGTTAAAGTACTAATCCAATGAATTACTCTAATACACTATTATATATAATATAAAAAAATAATACCGTGTATGTGCAGACATGTAATATACTCGTTTCGTATATGATCTCAAACTTCGTGATCGATTAAATATGTGTCCTTTCTGAAAGAGTAACGCGGCGGATTGTGGCAAGGTAGTAGCCAAAATATTGGATGGCTCTTTCCACATACTTGAGACAACAGCGTAAACATTCGTGGTGTATTCTTGTGATAGCGTTGCTGTATACCTTGGACGCGCTCCACGGCAGTTTCATCACCTAAGATCGCTTGGAATTGATCAATTAGAATCGCTATGACGAACATACCAAATAACCCCGACTCCAAAACTAACGTTACACAATGTAAACTGCAACAGGTATTCAACATTAGTATTCCAGTTACCATAAATTTCTCATGAGAATGTAAGTACATACATGCGATTTTGTTTGACTGCAATATCGTTATTGCACTGTGGGCAGTCATAAATCCAGGATGTAATGACTAAAATAATAGCGTAGATAGCTAATGCACCAACGTAGACTAGAAATTGTATGAAGTATTTTTGATTCCTTTCGCCGACGCAGTTATTGATCCTTAAATAAGAAAAGTTAAGACTTTAATAAATCCAAATGAATGGAACATTAATCGTTTAAATAAGATCGTTTAATAAGATTAATTTAAAAAATAAATAAATTATTATATTGATTTTTTAATATATTGCTATTGTTTTCCATAGCTCATGTAGTTACCATGGACAATGATGATCCATTTTTCTGATACAACGTTTACAAATTCTACAATGATGTGCTCTAGGTGGTCTATATGTTTCACATCTAGTACACACTGTCCAATCATCCTTCTCGTCACTTTCATGATCGTCACTTCCACCGGAGACATGAATATCGGAAAAATCCATTCTACTTTGTGGTAAGGGTACTATACCTGGATCACTGCAGACAGCTTTCAAATGTGCCATCAGAAGAAGAAGTATAACAGTATTAAATGCTATTATATGGAATGGACACCATAAGCTGGGAACAAGAAGATAATATTGTTGAATTTTTCAGAGGAAAGTGTAATAAATTAGAAAGACTGTAACAAAAAAATTAATGTGAGATGTCACGTAAAATATGAAAAACTCGATATTAATAATGTTAATAATGTCGATAATTGACAAACGTATGTTATATGAACCTGTCTTGCATAGTGTGTAACACGATCCATCGTACCACAACGTAGTCAGCATAGAATACCGCCACATAAGTGACGATAATGCATACAATGCCACAGGGATCTCGGACGAACATTTTTTGTTTTCGCAAATAGCACGCAGCGATTAATATCGCAGTTCTTCATCACTGTGTGCACAAGTGTCATGTCATCTGCTTTCGGGATGACCACATTATTAACATGTTCAGGGTTGATACAGCAGGTATCCGTCGTGACGCCGATCGACGAGTTAATGCATAATCCGTGCAAAACCGTCGTGTTGACTTGACTTGGTGTTTAGAGAGAAAGTTTTGACGGAAGTGTGATGGGATGCTTGGATCTTGGTCTTTTTGTTGGCAAAGTCTCCGATCGTTCAAGGAAAAAAATTCTTCCTTTTTTTAATTCTCCTTCTTGAATTTTCAACCTACCGAGAAATAAAATTAATTGGAAAGTGGAGTAGTAGAGACCGATCTGTCAAACGGCTCTACTGATTTCACTGACAAGTAGCGGTGGCGGCAGCAGATATGTAGTCTGATATGGGCTTTAATCTCTAATGTGTAATTTGATACGAGCTTTAGTGCAAAGTCGAAAGCATACGAAAGTAAAAAAAAAAAAGAGTAAAGTGGCAAATTTGGTCGCTCGAATTACACTGAATTATATATTAAAAAAGTTACTTTGTAAAATAAATGCCATCATATAATATAATCAACTTATTGTACATATGTATATACATAACAATATTGTAATCATTTAAAATATACTTTTACATTTAACTTTCCAATTTCATGTCAAGCAACTATTAGTATACACTAATCTAGAGCAGTGATCGAATTTGTTATAATTTGGATGCTTTCCAGCAAAAGACACAGATGACACAGATTGCTTTCTATTTAGGAGACAATAAACATCATTCTATCCTTCTTGATTTTCAATGAATAACAAAGATAAAACGATACGTGTCTTCTGCTGGAAAATACCATTTATAAATTTGTTATCATTGCAAAAATTCACCGATTCTCTTCAATCACCGATTCTCGACTATATTGGTCGAAAAAATCGGATGAATCCAATTTGTGCCATGGGACGTATTTGATTTATGTTGTTTTTTTCTATCATCTATATAGCATATTTCTGAAGTCTGGAAGTTTTCCTAGTCGATAACCAATCGTATGGCGTTGCATCTGCGTGTTCGTATTTTCATTCGAAAGTATTCTACGTGTACATTCGCAATATCCAATCGTGTGGTAAATACGACCACGTGGTAATTTGCGAACGCGACATTGGTATCCCGTAGTGACGCAAGCCCTTAGCCTCGCAAGCCTATCACATCCTTCAGGATCGTGGTGGTAACTTTCGGTCGTCCGACGGTCCTCCGTCTCATTTCACTTTGCGTTACCGGTAAGGAGAGTTGTGTGTCTCGCGGTAATGGGGCGATAATTTCGCTCCACGTTAATTTAATTAGATCTCGTGGCCCGAAGTGCGCCGCTCGCTCCTCGTAACCGACGTTGTACTGTTTCAGGCAAATCACCGTTAAACTGGCTACGTAATAGGCATTTATTACTTGGCCGGATTTCTTTATTACGGTAGAGTAAGTAGCAACTTGAAGAATCTGCTGTCCGTGTTGTGTGCGGAGAGGAGAGCGTGCGTGTCTTCTTTCCTTACCTTGCCATCTTTCCCGGTGTCACTTCGGCCGTTCCTCGTTCTTGGCATCATTTTTCATTTTCTGTCCCGTCATTTTCCTTCGTCTCGCATT